CCCCCCCCTCCCCCCCCGCGCCCTCCTACCCGAGTGAAATTTCCGCAGCTTCGTCCAAGGCGACCACTGCCACGCTCTAACGAGTCTTCGTTTATGCTCGCCTAACGCGAACCCGTTATCTTGGGACAATTAACTGCACGGCCAACGGGCTGAGCCGCCGTTGCTCCGAATATACGTAAATTTAAATGACGCCTAAGGTACCCGACAACACAAGATACAAAGAAAGAAGCAGAGTGAGAGACAGACTCCAAGTTGCACGCGGGGCAATTAGAGTATAGAGGACAGACCGTAGGAAATTTATGTATGGGAAGAGAAGGAGACAAACGTTGTCTCGCAATTCCGTCGACCGAAGATTTAGAGATAAGAAAATATTCTAGGTTAATGGTGACTCGGCCGGATGAAGTTTAACTAGTTATTCCATCCTTTTTTTATCCACTTTGTACTTCGTTCCCGCGACTCTGCGTAACTGTCTACTTGTACCGGAAGCCATTCAAAGCCACCCGTCTAACTATTCTATTCGTAGTTCTGTTCTTTCTACTTGCTCCAATTCCTACGCCACTTCGTAAATATATATATATATATATATATATATATACGCTGTACCGATCGTTCCTCGGATCATTCTTTTTTCAGAATAATAATTCCTAAGGTTCATTACTTGTTACACTTCGCTCTTACTAATTGCCGATCGTTTACGATGAAATTCTCATAAATTTTCGAAAGCAAAATTTCGTCCAGAGATTAAGAATTTGCCTCAGACAAATCTGCTCCATTATCTACTTCGAGGCATTACCTCTACGCCATTTTACTGGCACTCAAGTGCCCTGCTACGCTATCGCGATACTGCCTCCTGTTTACTACCACTTTGCTGTAACAAATCGTCGTCTAGAAATCCACAGCAGAAGCAGAAACCACAAATGACGTATATAATATATATGTATATATATATATATATACGTACTCGCTTGCAGATAACAAGACAATTAACGGAAATTTTCGAAAGATTTAATCGAGACCGCAGTTCATTTCCGGAATTCCGGTATGAGTTCGCATGCATGATTCCTAAAAGCATTGAACGTCCCAGCTGATTTAACGGATGAGCGAATCCATTAACAAAACGGCATACAGGCGGAGTCACCGCGTAAACACCGTAGTCCATCGGTGCCCGATTGTTGCTAGCCCGATTATTTTCTGGGAACGAAATCAGATAGCATGGAGGCGAATGCAATTCTTTTATCGTGCAGAGAAATGCGTGCGATGCGATTTCTGTTACGAAGAATTTTTCATATTTTTATCATACTTTTTGTCTTCCTTTTAGAAATTTTCACTTCCTTTTTAATAGATGGGAATTCCATTCTCTCAGGCACTCGTGAGGAAATCTTGACACCCTACTTCGTCGGCATACCTTGAAAAGTATGGTACGAGATATATACATATAGATATGCTGACAAGGTAATGTATTGTCAATAGAAATTTGAGCTCCGACCAAATAGAAGACGCGCATGCGCAACAAGACGTAAGGGCACGTTCCGTGCAAAAACGTGACTCACGTATAGCTAATTGTCAAAGGGAAAATAGAGAAGCGTTTTGAATATCAATCGTCCACGCATAAAGATACAGAGTGGCTATAGCATTCCATTCGACGAGCAATCAAAACGCCCAATGAAAAGCTTTCCTCGGGAATGAGTTTGCTCGAGTGACGAGTCGACAGACTGGTCGGAGACGACAATTATTTCAGACTTGCGCCAGGCATGCTCAAGTTTACCGTTTTTATTATATATATATATATATTTTCTTCACGCGACCATACCAGTAGTCCCCGTAAAGTTCAGTGAGACGGATGTGTACTTGCGACAATTAAGCTGCAGCCCGCATAATAACTGTGCCAGCAAGTAAGAGAATAGCCGCCTAAGGAAGCGACGTTCTCGCACCTCCAGGTCACGTGGACGAGGGAAACCGTAACGCGTGGTTTGATATAAAAATTATTTTTAAAAAATATGACGTCACGTGCTTTAACGAAGTCACGGCAAATTTGAGGATTTCTTTAGTCGGACAGGATTCCAATGGCAAAAAGGCAGGACGGCAACTTTCCCAATTCTTTGTCGGAAAGAGAAATTTTTCTTCCCTGGCCTATCGGATCTACAGAAACAGACTTTATAACGGCGAGATAAAGGACGAGGAGAAGATAATTAAAAGAAAAAAAAAAAATGAAAAAGAAACAAGAAAGGAAACTGGACTGTAACGAAAGAGATAATTATTTGTTAAAGGTTGTCCAACTTGATGGAGAATATATGGAGCGTTTAGAAAGTCCATCGCGTATCCTACGCTGCTATCACTTTCTTCGTGAAGTAACGTCCTTTAATAACGCACGTTACGTTCTTACGTGACATCAATGCAAATCATTCATATTTCTACTACATGCTATATACGTAGTACATGCATGCGTCCCAGTTATCGCATGCCGGCAGAACGACGAGATCAATTGTAAGTAATAAGACAGAGAAAAATTTAAATAAATTATATTCAGCCAAATAATAATTTCAGAGCAGCAGCTTGGATATTCGTCATTGGACCCAATGCACGTTCTTATAACCTAAAGCGGAAGTGCATTGTTCATCGAAGGATCTTCTCCCGAAGGATCCTCACGCAGGTTCCGTCTGATACGCAATACGTGGAGTTTCGTTATGTCAAGGATAATAAACTGAGTAATAAAAAAAAAAGGAAGGTATAAAAATCAGCGATGAAGGGTAGATAAAAAATTGAGCAATTAGAAGAAAAATCCTTAAGAGAGGGATCGCGATCGGAGCGCACGCTTATGGTCGGCCAGAGAGTCGGTGGTGGGAGGGAGAGGCAGGGAGAGGCAAGGAGAGAGAGAAAGAAAGAGATACCCACCACTACTACTTGACTTTGGCATTACGCTACCTTCACTCATTCGGCAGCTGCTGTGCTGCACACACGAGAGCTTTCGGTCGTAGGCTCCTTCTGCCTTTACG